CAGACTCCATACTCAGTATGAATCCTGACACAGGGCTTGATCCCATGACATGGCCTGAAAAGCTTTTCATTTTAAAATGAAATTTGTAATATATAAAATCTAGTATGGAGAGATAGTAAAAATCTGAAGAATCAAAGTGACAGTGTGAGGGTGGGATATCAGAGATAACCAGGATGGTCAAGATGTTGTGGTGGTTATTGCTGTGTTATTTTGTCGTATGTCTTTGAAATTGCACTATTCTTTTATTTCTAATAGGATTTGAAGAATAAAGAGATTTTTTAATTAATTAATTATTTTTAATGTTCTGTTTTATTTTATTTTTTTTAATTTTATATATGAAATTTATTGTCAAATTGGTTTCCATACAACACCCAGTGCTCATCCCAAAAGGTGCCCTCTTCAATACCCATCACCCACCCTCTCCTCCCTCCCACCCCCCATCAACCCTCAGTTTGTTCTCAGTTTTTAACAGTCTCTTATGCTTTGGCTCTCTCCCACTCTAACCTCTTTTTTTTTTTTTTCTTCCCCTCCCCCATGGGTTCCTGTTAAGTTTCTCAAGATCCACATAAGAGTGAAACCATATGGTATCTGTCGTTCTCTGTATGGCTTATTTCACTTAGCATCACACTCTCCAGTTCCATCCACGTTGCTACAAAAGGCCATATTTCATTCTTTCTCATTGCCACGTAGTACTGCATTGTGTATATAAACCACAATTTCTTTATCCATTCATCAGTTGATGGACATTTAGGCTCTTTCCATATCTTGGCTATTGTTGAGAGTGCTGCTATAAACATTGGGGTACAAGTGCCCCTATGCATCAGTACTCCTGTATCCCTTGGATAAATTCCTAGCAGTGCTATTGCTGGGTCATAGGGTAGGTCTATTTTTAATTTTCTGAGGAACCTCCACACTGCTTTCCAGAGCGGCTGCACCAATTTGCATTCCCACCAACAGTGCAAGAGGGTTCCCGTTTCTCCACATCCTCTCCAGCATCTAGAGTCTCCTGATTTGTTCATTTTGGCCACTCTGACTGGCGTTGTTCTGTTTTATTTTTGAGAGAGAGTGTGAGCAAGGTAGGGACAGAGAGAGACACACACAGAGTCGAAAGTAGGCTCCAGGCTCCGAGCTGTCAGCACAGAGCCTGATGTGGGGCTCAAACTCATGAGACATGAGATCATGACCTGAGCCGAAGTCGGACGCCTAACCAACTGAACCACCCAGGCATCCCAGAATAAAGAGAATTTTAGAAGATCTCATTCTCCACCCCCACTTGCAGTGAACTGACTCACAACAGATGAGAAACTTAAACTATCACCTCTACATTGTCTTTTGGTTTTTGTTGGTGTAGAAGATGGTTTACATTGATTTAAGAATGTATGATGGGGCACCTGGGTAGCTCAGGGCTCAAGTCATGATCTCAAGATTTGTTTTGTGGTTTCAAGCCCTGCATCAGGCTCTGTGCAGACAGCATGGAGCCTGCTTGGGATTTGTTGTCCTTTCCCTGCTCTCTCACTTGCTCTCTCTTTCAAAAATAAACATTTAAAAAAAAAGAATGTATGATAAAATTTACAATCACTAGCTTAAAATATGCCTTAATACTTTTAATAGTACGTAGCAGATAGAAAATGGAGAAAATCATGTCTGTCTTTTCGGACAGTAAAACTTTTTCACTGAGGGGTGTCTATATCTACTAATGGACCATGAGATTAAGAAAGCGGATTAATTGAGGAGTTCCATTCAGTTTTGAAATTTTTTACTGAGAAATTCTCTCTTAAATTTATAAACAGCTAAGAAAAATATGTTGAGTATTGTTTGGACTCTTACTAATTTCTCTATTCATGATAAAGCCCAATTGCTTGGTCTGTATAATATGCCATATTTCTCCAAAAGCGGGAGTGACAGGAAGCACGATAAAGCATGTGACGATATTATAGGAGGCATTTTAGGACTTACACCTTGAAATCTAAAATCTTTGGTTGTAATCGTGTTCATATGTTGAGGGGGAAAAGAAAAGCAAAAATATTTTATGGTACTGGGTTAGTAGCAAATGGGACTGCTAATCTCTAAGGCAGACACATTTAACTGGTAGATCGCCTTCAATGAAAAGATCTTGAAAGATTGTGAACAAGAACAGAAGCCACATTTATACCAAGGAAGAAAATTTTTCGTATATTAATGTGCCATTTCTTTTCACTAAGGGACTTTTGTTCTTGGCATACCCACCTCTCTGGCGCTGTTCAGTAACTTTGAAAAATTGAAAGGCATCACTTTTGGCAGAAATTTTTAAAAAGAATAAAGTGGTGAGCTGTGAGGATGTTTCGTATGGGTAGCAGGTAGCCACGTCATTGGACATTTATAGACTCACTATGTTCCAGACACCATTTTGGATACTGGGGCTATAGTGATGAGTAAAACAACAAAATTACATGGTTTTATTTAAAACAGATTACAAATTGGAAGAGCCACTGGAATTCTGAGGCAAGATGAATTTTACTCAGTATCTTTTATACAAATATGTTTGTTATTCTGGCCTAAAAAAAGAAAAAAAAATTAAATATAAAATGTCCAAGAATTTTTCTTTGAATTTAAAAATATGCTAGATTTTTCAGTTTTCTTATTCACAAGTCAGTGTTAGCTGTTTCATCTATAAAATCCACCTTAATAAAAGGCAGCACTACCTCCAATGCCAGAAAACAATGACCTGGGACTCCTTAACTCTTCATAAAAGGGCTTTGTACAGTCAGGGATGACATCCGTTTCACATTAAGTAACTTGGGCCAGATTGGTTCCTTACAGAGCCTTTCCTTGCAGTTGCTATGCCACCGAAAGCTATTGAGCTGCCATGGGTTTTGGCACTTGGATCTTTGTATTTGTTATCAACATATGTGGAAAAATACCTGGTGCTATCTTGGTTTTGGTTATGTTTTATATAAAGTGCTTAACATCTTTTTGTTATTTATTTTATGTTCGAGATATTTTGAATCTTGTTTTAAAAGATTTTGTGTGGGTTTTTTTTGTTTTTGTTTTGTTTTGTTTTGCCCAGTGTTAACTTGCATATTATTTTGTGACTTGGAGGGGTCAAAAAATTTTAAACTGGCCAGAGATGAAGCTTTCTCTTCTTACTGACTCTCATCAGGAAGCTGTGACACCCACTTCCATTTTTGTGCCAAATGTTTCTCTTTATGACTCTGGTGCATAAGACTTTGAAGCTTTGTTGACCACATTGGCAGTTTGCCCAGAACCCAAATATCCTGTGTAATTTGCATGATAATTACCATTGATTTACATACAGTACAGGCTGAGTTGTCTTCCTGAATTTAAAGTAAAAAAATGTTTTAAAAAATTAAAGCCTTTCCCCTCTTACCTCTCCTGTTTTCTAGGTTTGAGAAAGGGTCATAGCTGTGTTTACAGGCCCTAATCAGTTTCCACAGGCCTTTGTATTTCCTAAGATGTTACATAGATTGTTGTACCCTATGTGGGACACAGTTTCATAGTTCCACTCTATATGCCCCCACCTCCAGTATTGTTTCCCTCTTACTTGCTGTGCTTCTCCTGATCTGATCTCCTACTAGTTTCTTATCTTCACATCATATTCTGCTATCTCATTTCTTCTCACTAATGAAAAAAAAAAAAAAGATTATTTATTTTTACTCTGCTGTGTGTCCGATGAGTCAGTTTAATGTTGCATGTGGAACAAATGATTGATAAATTGGAATACATGAAACCCAAAGGTGAGCTGCTCTCTGGCCCTGCCCAAACCAGGCCCGTAATAGTCTCAACCTCACGAAGCCCAGGAAGATAAGGTTGATTTCTTTGTCACCCATCTTCTTTCTCCATAGCCGTTCTGATTTATTTATCCAATAAATGTTTTTAGGAATGTGCTCAACAGTAGCTTAGCAGTCTTAGAATAAATAACCTTAGACATCCTAGACTGAACCAGACTCGAAATTCTATGCTGGATGACTTGAAAACTTAGATTGCTCTTTTTCTCTTCTTTAAAAAAGGGGGGGGGGGGGAGGGGGAATGCAACAGGTAGCATTTATATAGTTCAGAAGAGCGTTTAAGTATAAACAGTGTAGAGTCCCCCTCCCACTTTATCTCCTCTCTGCCAAGTTCCCGCCATCACAACCAAGGCTACTATACATGTTTTATGTGTACCCTTCTTAAATATTATGCATATACAAATATATATCTTTGTATGTACTTTTTTATATACAAAAATATGCAGAATTGTGTACAAAATTCTAAACCTTGAATATTTTACTTAATAAATCCTGGAGCTTTTTCCATATAAATATATAGAGAGTTTTCTCATTTTATGTTACAACCACATAACATTAAATTGTATTCATTTTCCATGATTTATTTAACCAGTCCTATGCTGATTGATATTTATGCCATATGTATCTAAAACATAAAACTTTTGTCCTATGTTTGTGACAGTTTGAAATTGAAAATAAAGTTATACTCACCCTAGCAGAGAGCACTTAGGGACTCTGTTAGACATCAGCTTTGGAGAAGGGACAGAGTGCTGAGATCTTATTTAACCAAGTTCCAAGGTTTTACTACTAATTTTTACCATTCTGAGTCACATTGTACCTTTCTACAATTAGTGATAACATTATTCTAATAACCTTTTCAAGTTTGGGGGGAAAATGTCATAATTTCTGGTGACCATTGTTTGCATTAAAAGGCATTACCTTGGGGCGCCTGGGTGGCTCAGTTGGTTAAGCATCGGACTCCGACTCAGGTCTTGATCTCACAGTTTGTGGGTTCGAGCCCTGCATCAGGTTCTGTGCTGACCAGCTCAGAGCCTAGAGCCTGGAGCCTGCTTTGGATTCTGTGTCTTTTTCTCTCTCTGCTCCTCCCCCATTCATGCTCTGTCTCTCAAAAATAATTAAACACTTAAAAAACAAATAAAAAAAAATTAAAAGCGTTACCTTTGTATTATGTTTTTAAGACTTCTTTTGTTTTTATCTTTTTTTGTTTTTAACTAGATCCTTACAATAAATGAGGATGGATCACTTGGTTTGAAAACCCCTAAATCTCACGTTTGTGAGCACTGCAATGCTGCCTTTAGAACGAACTATCACTTACAGAGACATGTGTTCATTCATACAGGTATTTCTTGAATTAAAATGGGCCTATGGCCATTAAGAGATTATTATCTTTACTATTTTCATCTTTGTGTAAATGTCATTCATTTCTAAGACTGTAACTAACCAGGTATTTATTTCAAATCAGAGATTTCATAGGCCAGAATATCAGAAGGAAACCAGGAAAACTTTAAATGAGAAAACAATGGGCATGAATGTGCATAATGAATTAATTATAATTATAATTATATATAATATAATTAAACACTTATCTGGCTTAATGTGTTCTTTTCAGTTAGAGAAACTGTTAAAGAATGTATTATTAAAAGCCTATCAACATTTATTTTTCTCTGCAAGACATCCAGATGGAGTTTGAAATAGGAATTTGGGAATCAGATATTAAAAAATGATAATTAAGAACATGACATTATAGAGAGCAGAACTAAAGACTAATCACAGATCCTTGGGGAAACACACTGGACACGTAGGTTAAATTAAAGGATATGGGGTGGGAAGATAGAATAGTAAGGTACGTTTGATGAACTAGGAAATTACAGTATCCCAGAAGCTAAAAGAAGAGACAGTTCCAAGGAGGGTATAATCAGCAATGGCACAACCTTCATAGAGGATAGAGAGGAATATAGAGAACTGAAGAAGAGCTGTTAGAATAAATAGCAAAGAGAGCACGAGTAGCTTTTAAGAAAGCAGAGTATAAGGGTTAAAGCACAAGTGGGTGGTGGAGGATTTGAAACATGGGGTAAACTATTCTATTAAGAAGAAATGGTGAAAAGGAATGAGAGAAAGTAATAAGGTTGGAGTGTTTCAGGATTTCTGGAAAGTTTGTTTGCAAAGGACAGACCTGAAGAATACTTACTAGGAAAGGTTCCAGCAGAGAAGGAATGATTGAAGAGACAAGATTAAAAAAAAAAAAAAAAGGAAAAAGATGTTTGAAAGTTCCCAGAGTCCTGGAGAAAATAATTGAAAGGGCATAAAGTGATAGTTAGCCACAGAGAACAAGGTGGGTGGATCTTCTTTTGGATAAAAAGAAAGAAGAGATGTTTAAGATACCGTAGATAACCTGTAGAGTTCTTTCTAGTCGTCTGATTTTTCGATTGTTTTCTCCTTCCCTCTCTTTCTTCTTTTCTTTTCCTTTCCTTCTCTCTCTCCCTTTCCTTTCCTTTTCCTTTTTTTCAGATATAGAGCAGATTTGATCTCATCTTTCTATGATTGTGAGAATGTGTATTTTCTAATTGTGGGGGGAAAATTGAGGAAATAAAATTCTGTTAAATTAATGAATAGTATAAAAATATTTTATGGATAATTTGGAATTTTCAAGAATTTGGGCTTTCAAGATTTATCTTTCCTCAGAAATAGTAACTATGAACTGTGTTTTATCCAGTAACTAATTTGTGGATGTGAAATTATTTTAAGGTGAAAAACCATTTCAATGTAGTCAATGTGACATGCGTTTCATACAGAAGTACCTGCTACAGAGACATGAGAAGATTCATACTGGTGAGTGTTGCCACCCTTCTTAGGGTCATTAAGTTTATCATTCCAAATATGGGGAAAAATTTTTAACAGATAGCAACTGCTTGCCACTTTTCATCAGTTTTGTTTCTTAAGAGTGTATATCACAGTTTAGATTTTTCCTTTCAATAAATCAATCTTAACTGTTAAGACTTGGCTTTAATGTCCAAGCCCAATAAATTACTTTGAAATAGAATTTCATAATAAAAATATATTTAAATTTTTTTTTTCCAACGTTTATTTATTTTTGGGACAGAGAGAGACAGAGCATGAACGGGGGAGGGGCAGAGAGAGAGGGAGAGACAGAATCGGAAACAGGCTCCAGGCTCTGAGCCATCAGCCCAGAGCCCGACGCGGGGCTCGAACTCACGGACCGCGAGATCGTGACCTGGCTGAAGTTGGACGCTTAACTGACTGCGCCACCCAGGCGCCCCGATAATAAAATATATTTAAAAGGATGTAAGAAGATTTTTGTGAAATAGCTTTTTCCTAAGATGTTTCAAAAGTTTAGGGTTAGGTAATTATCGTTCATATTAATTAGTGGCAAGAAGCAAAATGCCTGAGCCCTAAGATACCACACTTTTTTTCCCTTACTAGTTCATGTATATAGCTTACTGTGTCAAGAGAGTTGTAATCCTTATAAATTGGAGACTTCCAGTTTTTTGGGCTAAGTTGTTAATGATTTAGAAACAAATATTTTAGATCACTTACAAAGGAACCCATACCTTAAAAAGTTAAGTCTTATTTTAGAGCAGGTGTTTATTTGCTTTTATTTTATTTTATTTTATTTTATTTTATTTTATTTTATTTTATTTTATTTTATTTTTTGACAAATGTAAAACCAAGTTTTATATATGACCTTGACTTAGTAGACTGTTAGCTTTTGACTTTGATGTCTATAAGCATGGTGAAAAGTGTTTCTTTAGAATTTATTTCTAGTGTTTTGCCTTTTTGTGATGGAACAAAAGCAGAGTTGGTGAATTGGTATCACTTTGATTCTTAACATTTAAACAGATTTGGGAATGATGGTGATATATGAATATTGAAAATACTAATGTTCTTCATATTTTTCCATATTAAGTAATTAAGCAAGTATCTGCCCAGTGTTGTTATTTTGATGTTTTCTCAAGGTACCTGTAGTACCTATGAAAGGGCATCCTGGACAGTTTGTCATATAAAAGAAGCAACTTCTTCTGCCTAATAACTGCCCTTTCTTTTTGCCCCTAACAAAGAAGCATGAATGTGGCCGGTCTCCTTAAATAAAACTTCCAACTGTGCAGCACATGTATATACTTTAAAGTTCTACTTTTCAGAGATCATTATGCACAACATCCATTTCAGTTTCTTAAGTAAACATGTATTCATCACTTCCAGATGGAAGGGAGTGTAATAGGCACTTTGGGAGAAAGAACAACTTTATTGATTTTATGCAACTTGTAGCCAAATTTATATTTCTGTACAGTAATAAAACCTGATCAGGTAATGACAAACTGCTTAAATAATTTTGTATGTTCTTAATACCTATTAGGTTTTGATGATTTACTCATTCATTCAACAAAAATTTACTGAGCCTTCAGTATTTTTCAGGTATCAGAAATACACAGGCAATATAAGGTAGTTTCCATGAAATTTATATTCTAATGGGAGAGACATACATATAAACAAGCACAGTGTGAGAAGTGTTGTAGAGTTTTATACAACATGCTGTTGTGCCCTTGAGCAAGAGTCAGATGTGTTAGCTATTAAGGGTATATAGGGAAGGGAACACAGAAAAACTGCAGGAGGCTCAGTTGAGAGAGGGGGGGTGGGGGGAAAGAGGGGAGTGTGTGTGTGTGTGTGTGTGTGTGTGTGTGTGTGTGTGTGTGTATCTGACAAAAAGATTTTTGAAACAGTACTTTCTGTTACTGCACTCTGCTATTTTCTGTTCTGTTCTAGTAAATTTTTCTTTAATGTGCTGGTCACAACTCTGTAATCTCACTGGAAAAACAACTGTGCTAGGCCAGGAATGGTATCTTGGATTTAAACAGGTTATAATGGGTAGTTAATATTTATTGATAATTTACTAAGATCAGATATTGTGCTAATAAATATTTTGTTAAATAGCTCATTTAGTTCTCACATTAATCTTGAAAGAGGAGCTATTACTGTCCACATTTTTTGTTGAGGAAGTAAGATGAAGCACACAGAAGAAGTTAAGAAATTTTTCTAAATTTATATAATCTGGTAAATATATGATGGAGCTACGATTCCAACTTAACTCTGTGACTCCAGATATACATGTGAAATCACTTAACTGCAGAATGGGACTAGAAGCAGAACAATATCTTTGGACTGTTTTGAGTTTTTCTTGCTATGCCACTAAGCCACTTACAGCTTAGCCTTCCTAAGTTATTTAGTAAATACCTTCCTAAGATATTTAGTAATATCTAAAAAGGACGGAAGCAAAGGCTGGGGTTCTCATGTTATAGAGTATACAGTTAGAAAAAGATAAGAAATTGAGAGGAACAACCAGAGCAAACCAGTAACTATGGTTCCTTAACAGAGAAAAGTTTCTTTTGAAGAGAGACTCCGTTTGCTTCACTGTTCACCCCACCTCAACCCCCCAGATGGAACTGACAAAAAGGGAATTGCTTTTCCTTCTTCATTTTCTTGGTTCTTTTTATGGACTCTTTCTGAAGACAGTAAGGTATTTTTGTCTTGTAATCGAGATACCTGTAAGCTATACCTATCTGGGAATATATATTTAGAACCACAAATATGTTCTCCAACATGTATTATTCTGTCCTTACTGTTCTTCTTTCATGTTTTAAATGGCTTTTAGTTTTGGAGAGGGGGGCAGTGCCCTAAAGTTTGCCCATGTCAAGGCTTTCTCTCTCTAGGTTCTTAATTTAGAAGAATGCATCGAAGTAGTTATGGCAGTAAAGAAATTTTGTGTATTTTTATCCATTTTTAAATTGTCTAGAAGATAATGAGTCATTTATCAACTGATCCTCAAAGGTCATGTCATGAGAAGAACTGCTAGTTCCTACAGGCTCAGTTTTCCTTATGGTCTCCCTCATTCCTCTAGGCCTCATTCTACTGACTCCTCTAGCTTTCCCAGTCTCCAAGCCTGTACTCTGCTCTATTTGCAACACGCTTGAAAATCATTACCTGCTTGACTGCTTTTGTCACCAATCAAGAAATCTGTGGCTTTTAAAAACCAAAAGCTTGATTTGCTTTTCAAATAGAAAATTGTAAAACTCAGCTTGGACAGGTTATCACTTAATAATGTTTCCAGAATGTGGCTTAACCTATGAAATATCATTTTTAGGGGGAGTACTGTTTCATCTAGAGGCTGATCCATGAAATTCTGGTTAAAGCTGTAGCCTAAAGCATTGAAAAGGGCAAATATTCTTGGGACTGCTATTTTTGGCATTTATGGGAGATTTCTATCTTCTTTGTGAATGTGTTCTAGGCCCTTTGCTTACGGTATGTTTGGGAATATGGGAGAGAAGGTGTGGACTTGAAGCCAAGATTGAACATAAACATCTTAATTGATCATTTTGTTTAGGGTCACATACATACCAAAGTAAGCATTCATTGTCACTGACAGATTTACGATATCATGTACTTTTATTTTATCTACGGTGTCTTTTCCTTTGCATTTTCAAATGCATATATAGACTAAATTTTCAAATAACATATATCCAGTTATGTTCTTCTCTAGGCACCTTGTCACACTTTTACCCTAAGGAAGTGGCAGTCTTACTGCCATGGAGAAGGGGGTATGGGTTTGAGGTGTAAAGAACTTAATATAATTTTCAATATTTTATTTTATTTTATTTTATTTGTTTTGGGAGGGGGAGAGGGGGAGAGAGAGAATGAATATGAATCCCAAGCAGGCTCCATGCTGTAGTGCAGAGCTGGATCTCACGAACCTTGAGATATCATGACTGAGCTGAAATCAAGTCGGATGCCTAACTGACTGAACCACCCAGCTGCCCCTCAATATTTTATTTTAATTTTGTATTAGTTCTCTAAATTCCAATAAATAGTAAACCACAGAATACCTATCTTGATATTCTGCCTGTTTTAGCAAATTATGGTTATTTCTTATAGTATGGCAGTTTTCATAATTTATTTTTATCTCATTAGTAAGATGTCAGGAGCCATTTTTGTATGTGGGGAAGTTTTTATAGAATGTTCTTCCTCCCTAAAATAAAAAGGATTTTGAAAATAAACCAAATCATTCAGAGTTAAGCATTTTCATTAGTTTCTTTTCCTTTTTTTTTTTTTTTTTTTTTTAAGGCTTTGGGGGCGCCTGGGTGGCTCGGTTGGTCAAGTGTCCGACTTTGGCTCAGATCGTGGTCATGAGTTTGTGAGTTCGAGCCCCACTTTGGGCTCTGTGTTGACAGCTCTCCGCCTGGAGCCGGCTTCAGATTCTGTCTCCCTCTCTCTCCGCCCCTCCCCCGCTCACACTGTGTCCGTCTCTCTCTTAAAAATAAACATTAAGAAAAAGCTTTTTAAAAGCTTTAGTTCTTCATACATACAATGTATAGATGAAACATAAGAACCTGGAAAACCTGTCACCTAAGTTAGCACTCTTTACACCTGAAACATGTTGAGCTGCTTTTCCTTTTGACTCTGACTTTTATTCGAAACCGTGTTAAATCGCAACCGTGTTAAAAGGCTGAAAGGTTGAACGTTCTTTTTTTAAAAACCAGTTGGGCTAGTGGGGTGGAGTAAGAATGTTGATTCACCCTTGACTAAATTAACTCAACACTTTGTACTTCCTTCATTATAGTTCAGTTATTAATAAAACATACAATTTTTTCCTCTTATTTGAATCCCCAATCTGTAGTTTATTAGCTATAATAGAGAGAGGTCTCATTAAAGGAAAATGTTACAGACCTAGTTAGAGTTTAACTCTTGTTTGTGGAGATGAAGGAACTGAATACTGCTTTTGCTACTGAGGATGTTGCCTGCATTACTTGCTGCTGGCACTA